TCCTTGCTGGCATCGTGTACGGCTACACTCTGGTTGTTGGCCAGAGTAGCGATCGGCATCCTCATTTGTTCCTGTTAGGCTTGCATCTGGATCCGAACTTCTGTTGTTCGGAAATGTTTAGAGGCATTTTGGATTCACGCCAAAAGCCCTAAAATGAATCGTAAGGAAGAATGCCTAGCCATCACACGTGAGCTCGCTCCCTACTTGGGTCAGATCTTCTGACCCGGCGGAGACGTTATAAATAGCCGTGGCATATGCACTCAGTCATTCAACGCTCGCTCTGGCATTAGAACTCTATCGGCGTGTTCAAAAAGGTGAGTGCTTGGTTAGGCAGCTAGTTACTAATCTACCGAAGCCTTAGAGTTTCGTTTGCATGGCTGCAGAGACGTTTGATCGAATAGCTTGCAAGTCATACTGTCCATTCCAGGCTCTGAAGAAGGCGACTTGCCGAAACGTCAGCCAATAAAGTGTTAACAATCTCGGGTCAAGGCTCAGAAACACAACTACAAAGAATTTTAGAAATTTTAGATTATGAGAAGGTGATTGTCTGAAAATTTTTTCGAGTTTCGGGCCGCGATTAGGGTAGGGAATCTTTAACTAACGCACAACTCCAAGGCTGTGCTTTTCATTTAGCACAGGCTCAGAATAAAATGTGTCTAAATGTCCTTAAAATGTCTAAATTCGTCACAGAGAAAACCATTTGATAGCAGTGCGAATGTAAAAAACTGAACCGTAATTTGTTTGTGATTTTTTGTGCTGTTTTTTTTTATTTTTTCAATTTTTTTGGTTTTTGTGTATTTTTTGTCTTGTATTTTACTAATGAACTACAAATTTTCTGCTGTCTTGATCGATAATATGTGGCAGTAGCGCGACCTCTGAGGGAATTCTCGCACCTCAGCGAGGGAGGTGCAAGACTGCTGAGAAAATCTCTCTGTGAGAGATTGCGGACGACGAGAGCGCGCTTACGGTAGCTCAGCCGCGGCGTTGGTTCCAGCTCTGGCGGCTAGTCGCGGCACCAAGCGACTGCCTATGTAACACTTGCACGCCTCCCCCAAAAATTTCGGGAAAGTTAGCCGCGCTACGTAACTAATTCTCGAAAAAGGCAAGTCAAAAGGAGCGGGAAGTTTGAAAAAGGCATGTCAAAAGGGGCGGGAAGAAAAATGAGATTCAGAATATTATGAAGTACTAGTTGGCAAAGGCTCCGCCCGGGCCTGTCAATAATATATTTGTAATCAGCATACTCGATTGCCCCTCTGTGCCAACTTCCAGCCCTGTAGCTCAAATTTTGCAAAAAAATCGATAAAATCGATACCGATCGATAACGAAAAGTAGCCTATGACACTCGCCCTGCCCCGAAGTGTATGTGTGCCAAATTTGGTCCCGATCGGTTCAGAAATGGAATTTTTTATTCGGAACATACGTACAGACACACACACACAGACAAACAGACATTCAGCTTTATATATAAGATACTTTGGCTTAAAAAATTGGTTTTTAATTGGTTATCTTATATATAAAGCTGAATGTCTGTTTGTCTGTGTGTGTGCCGGAAGGGAATTCGGGCCTTTGCTAGAAAAGGTAGGACTCACGAGTTGGGAATTCCCGCCGGAGAAGCATTCAAAAGGCCAAGAAATGCTCTTCAACGGTATTCGTTACGGTTACTTAGGCTGAATAGAGTGAGGAAGAGAGGGGAGGAAGTAGGTGCACTCTGCCAGGGCCTTTATTTTTCTCTGGCGATTGCACCTGTCAAAAACTAGTTATTATAACTTTATGAGCTTAACTGACAAAAGCTTGGCGCTTTTGTGTGTTTGAAGACCATTGGAGAAAAGAAATTAGTGGAATAGCTAAGGAAGAACTTGGAGAGTCAAGCTCAACTTATTTAGGCTTTATCGTTACTTCGATCTAAAACGTCAAAAGGTGCTATGACTAGGCACAGTAAAAGTAGAACAAAAGCATGCGGAAATTCTAGTTTTAGTAAAGCCTTTCCAAAAGAAAAAGAAGTTCTGCTAATAAGGCTTTTGAGAGTAGGAAAGGGGAGATGGGCGAGCCAGAAGGGAGGGGGAAGCTTCACTTTCAATCAGGTAAAGGGTTCTTTAATTTTTTCTAAGGAGTTGGAACGAGCATACTCCCAATTTATTCCAGCTGCACACAGGTTCTGCCATTTCACACTCTACGAGCTTCCCACTATCTTCCGAAGGTGAAAAAATCAAAATCCACGTCCTTCCTTGTGACAGCTACACATTCGTCTCAGGATTGCGATAACACGGACAACGTCACCCTGGTAGGGGGTTGTATTTACTTTGGTCTGTATGTATATATTGGTAGCCAGCGGTTGTGTGCAACACATTCCGACCTAGTCATATGCTTTAAACTTCCGATAAATTTAATTAGTTGGACAGTAAAGGGAAAAAATTTTAGTATACTTTCTGGAAACTTGTCAAAATAACTAGAATGTTTGTCGGAAAAATCCTTATCTGCACGTATAATCTTTACAACTGTCAAACATGACAACTACGAATGAGACTTTTCATTGTTCGTACCGCTACTACTATTGCATAAGCGAACGATCTAATCGGTGTCAAGAGAGGAACAAATTAGGGAAATTTTACCTTACATGATTGTAAGAAATAGTCTCTCATCACAGCTACCCTTGTAGGTCCGAAAGAGTTTTGTTGTAGCGAAGTTTTATTAGATTCGACTGTTTTCTCATACTTTAGGTACAAATTTCATTTCTAGGTCGGACCGCTCAAAGCAATCCAGTATGTGCTGTTGAAGAAAACTGAGAAAAATGAGATCATCATATGCACGACGTCAGCTTATCAGTTTTGCCCGTTTGCTACCTTTCAAATGGGTGCGGGAAATTTCTCACCCGAGTCATATTCTCGCACCTAAGTGATGTGCCTGTCAGGCACATTCGGAGTCGCTATAATTACGAGCTCCTCAGGAAACCAAAACATCGCAAGCCCCGCCCCTTACCCAGAGTCGCTGCAGGTGCTGAAACCGGGATTCCAAAGAAACTTTCAAAATCGAAGTTCAGGAGTGAATTTGCTCCAATCAAAACCAAAATTCGGATTTAGGGGTTTTCGGAGTTGCTCTTTTCATAGTGAGATTTATTTGTTGCAAAGTCAAAGTTTAGCACCGATAATGTTTAACCAAAATGAAACGAATTTAGAGGTTTTGAAAATTCCCTATTTTATAACAAGACCGAAGTTTAGGTTTACGAGCTCTCGAAGAAAATATGGATGAACTATTGAAGAAATAGCCATAGCATAAGTTTCGTATGAAATTTAGTTTTGAATACTTGTGGATGAACTAAAATAGATTGAAGCAAACTTTGAACTGGTTCATATTGTTCAAATTATTACGTATTTGGAATTAGTTGAATTTATCTATGAACAAAATTTCCCATCTATGCCATGAATTTTTTTTCAATGGTTCACTTCTAGTTTTGCTTTTTGTAAGTTTGATGTGAAAGCAATACAATTTTGCCAAAAGATTTTGATTTAAACTTCGAAAGTGACACACAATGAAATGTTGAACCTTTGCGATAAACCATTTTCCCTGAAGAAATTTTCTTTTTTTGGTTAAGCGTTACATTTTCCGTGACTTTTCCATGTAAGGGCTCAAAATACTAAAAATTTTCAGAAAAGTGGAGCAGAATTAGTCGGTTGTTTTCAAAATATCAAATAGTTTTTCTCTATATTGTTTGACACCATTCCGAGCTTTCTAGGTCTACTATAAAGCTTTCTGACATTGAGCCAACATCGATGACCTAAGTGATATAACAAGTTTGCAGAAATATTAGGTTGGCACATAAGTAATGCAGCTTTTTATATAACTTTTGTCTCTCTGAACGTAGCGCATTCATTTTTTGGCAATATAACTATTATGATGTAAGCTTCTAATGCACACATTTTTGCCGAATTTTATCATCTCATGTAAGGATTACGGTAGGTTTACGGTACTATGGGAAAAATTTTAGGATGCATCAGACTCGACATGCTGATCACAAAAATGAGATCCGTTTTGCATGAAAAGGCCTCGTTCGTGGGATCAAAAAAATGAATTTCACTTAAGCGACAAATGAACATGATATTCGTGTTCACCGTATAGGATTACGCTACAGTGCAAAGTTATAGCGAATTCTGACTTTTTACAGCTTAGTTATTGACAAACTGCCTTCAAAACTTGACGCATTTGACTCGTTCAACTTCTCAAAGGCGCCCCACCTTGATTTGCGTCTAGATTCCATTTCTTTTTTACTGATTCCAATGTGTCCATTTTTAGCTACATGCTGCCTATAATTGCTTTTTGATATGTTTACTTCAGGTTTCGTAGGGCTTCATGTTTGCCAAAAAACCGTGAAACCTCGATTTTCAGCAGTTTTCACAAGATGCTTAGATTTTTTGTACCACATTATCAAAAATTAAACGGTTTGCGCAGTCTTGCAGCTTACATCACGCTCTACGCGATGCCACAAAATGGGATTGCTACATATAAGAGAAAAGTTACGGGAAAAGTTGCAAGACTTATGTACCAACCTAATACTTGGCGGGTAATCTTGATAATCTTGATCTTGGTTAAGCATTATCGGTGCTAGACTTTGACTTTGCGACAAACAAATCTCACTATGAAAAGAGCAACTTCGAAAACCCCTAAATCCGAATTTTGGTCTTGATTGGAGCAAATTCACTTCTGAACTTCGATTTTTAAAGTTTCTTTGAAATTATGGTTTCAGCATCTGGAGCGACACTGGACGAGGAGGCGGGGCTTGCGATGTCTTGGTCTTCTAAGGAGCTCATTACTAGCGACTATGAATGTGCCTTGCAGGTACATCACTTAGGTGCGAGAATATGGCTCGGGTGAGAAACTTCCCCTCTCCCCTTTCAAATGCGTCAATGGCTGCTGGCCGCCCCTGTATGCCAAATCAAGCTCTTACAAAGCTGTGCTTGTCACTGGCGGGTTATTCACTCAGGCGATTATAGGCTCCAAGCATAACATCAATACACTACTCTAAGTCCCACCTCGAATAATGCCTTTTTGTCACGAAATCTTTTCTTGTATCTAGGATCTTCCATCATCCAATATGCAAATTCTTCAGCCATGTATTGACTGACTGTACCGTTCTTCTCGATATATCTGAAATTCGATAAATTGTGCTAGTAAAATCGAGAACGACTGTTACTTTAACTCACATAACATTGAAATCGTACATTACTCCGCCCTTAAGAGGTTCACGGTTGTAAACAGCGTCCTTGAACTTCCGGCAGTATTCACCTGCGCTCACATATTGCTAAAGATGTTGTTTTCTTAAATTGTAAAATTAAAGTACAGGACGTAATTTGCACAAATAATTGCGGTTGATCTTTTGTTTATCGAATATATGGATACAGAAATGCTGCCCGAAGAAAATTGGACTGGTTCAAAAGCGATTATTTGTGCAAGTATCTAAGCCTAAAGCCTTAGGCAGAGTTCACGCGATTTCATCGTCGCGATCCATCACGACAAGGCAAGTGTTACGAGTTCATTGCATGCCGATTTTCTTGTTCGGTTGTGATAATTAGTCACGATTAGTCGTGTTGGAAGGCTGTCACAACCGAAATGCAAGAAAACTGCATGCAATGATATTGTTGCAAGTTATTTTTCGCGAAGAACTGCGACGATTAAATGGCTGAACTCTGCCCGAGCCCTAAGGCATACTTCCGGCGATCTCGTCAAATCGTTGCATTCCGCGACAGTAAAAAGCATATGAAGCCTGGCCCAAGCAAAGTGCCTTACGACCAATCATGAAGAGCCGTTACAGTCCCAGATCGCGGAGTGACTGGATTCGCGCGAGGTATGCCTAAGACGTGAAGACAAGAGCATAACTTACCAGCTGATTTAGCTGATTTCCTTTTTCTTTTTCACTGCAAAATGTGCTGAATCCAGCCCTTAGGTTATCACCCCAAGCGCTTAGTTTATTGTAATAGATATTCCATTCATGTTCTGGACGTTTGTTATCGTAAAGCCTGGGAAGAGAGTCGCAGAAGGCAGGCAAGAGCTAAAAACTTCAATCATCACCGATTTTTTAAGATTTATTGTGAATTATATCCACTTACAACGAGTACGCAATAGAACAACATTTTTCATATGGTTACATTCTCCAAGCGCTTTTATAACGGGAGAGCTCAATGCGAAAACAAATCAGTCAGCAGGATTGTAATTGACAAAGTGCGTTTGGGATAAAATGAGTAATTGTAGTATCTGTTGTGAGGTACACTGTAATAGCGCAGATGTTTGTCAACTATAGCTATTCATAAAATATACGTTCTGAAATGTTATAAATAGGGGAACCGTTAGACTTTTTTGCTCCTCTGACTTGTTAGAAATGTGAATAAAATGGATCAATTGTTTTTTGGATACATCTAGAAGTACGTACATATGGTAAAACCTTGTTGAGTAATTTATATACTATTTTCAGCTTTGGTGAAATTCCAATTTAGATAATCTATAAATTATAGCTTCCACACAAAGAATGACAAGGTTCATTCTTGCCGTAGTTAATGAGCAAGCCAATTTTGTCACCATCCGTCAGCATTAGTTTCAGACATTTTCAGTCAAAAAGAATGTAAATATTGTAATAGCATACGATACCCAGCAATATTGTTCATTTGCACCTTCTTAGTCCAGGAGTATTTAGCTAGCTCAGGCTGCTAGAATTCTGTCTCACTGTGCGGTCTACTAGTATCCCTTTCAATGTATGTTACTGTTAATAGTTAATATATAACGCAATTGGTGAGACTCTTCCACTGCCCCCAAAAGGTCATATTGAAAAAAAAACAGATTTTTATTCATATCGAGTGGAAATCACTTACCTACAAGAATCCCCAAAAAGACGAGGGTTTGAAGACACTGCAAGAACCAAGGGCCATTCCTACAAAGTAGATGGCAACTTAGAATTTTATTAGGGCATAAAATAGCTCAACTCTTAGTTTGTAATCTTTGGTTTATGACTGCAGAGATTTAGAAGGACGGCAGTACCTTCCTGTTCAAGGAACTCTTATATACTGGCTCTTTGCATGCATCACTTGTAAAATGAGTGCATAAGATCCCTTATGCCATGGAATTGGTAGAAACATATACTTGCCTGACCAACACAGCAAAGGACTTTTCAAGCGCGCAAAGAATACTTTGACCTTATGGCAATATTGGCAACTGAGAAACATAAAGGATAAATCGTATGACAGCATATAGTACTTCATAACAATAATTATGACCGATGTTTTCCTTCTTAACTACGAATCCTAAGACCTTAAAGAAAGGGGCATGTCAGCATTCGGAAGGCCACGCGTGTAAGGTGAGAAATAAGGCACGAAGTGGGGCTCAATTAAATAATTCTCGCTCGTAGAAAGTCGTTCAGTTCACAGTTACCTAATACTTCGCAAATCTTCAAGCTACACGGAAAGACACAAAAAGTAGTTGGAACAGTACATGCAACTCTATTTGCCGGTATAATAGTCGCTCATTCATATGACGACTAGCTTTTGACGTCAACTTCAGCTAGTTTCCAAGCGTACTTTATGTGGTTCTTCAATGCGTACAGTCTCTTTACAACAACGGTATGGCTGATGTTTTTCATTCGAGGTCATTTTTCTCTTTTCTTCACACGATAGCTTCTGCTTGCTTCTATAGGCTCCTTTCTTCTGCATTTTGGATGACTTCCGTGCATTTCCTGGGTCTTCCATTATTATTTTTAGCCTTTGAATACTAAGTCAATTATGATTTTAGTTCTTAGACCTTCCATACATATTCTAGGAGCCTTAATTTTGATATTTACAGTTCATCAAATGGCATTAATTTCCAATCTCTGGCGATGGAGTGGATCCCCAGCTGTAGCGCTCACTCTTTCGATATCCGCTATTCGCTGTGCCACAGCTCTATGTCCACTCATTCTATTCAAAACCCTGTATGCACTTTCACACATCGAACGGCAACATTGATGCATGTATGATACATTTGTTCCATTCATATGATGTGATTTTGCCACTCGTAAAGGGATTACCTTGAATCAAGTCACGGATGCATTTGAGAGCTTATTGGTTCGTGAATGCCCTAGAAAGGTTAGAATCTAGCTTTCGAACTTCCGTAAATGACGTCATGGGTGTCATGGGTACTTTTCAAAAATTTTGGTTCACAAAATTACTTAAAAAGCTAGATCAAAGCCAGTAAGAGTTCATCTGTTCATACCCACGTCATAGGTGCATTTTAGAAATTGTTGATTCCTGAAAGAGATGTCTGATTTTACTATTCTCCCATAAATGAGCAACAAAGCGTACAGTATGTACCGTTACCTGGAATAAGTAGCAAACTATAAACTTCTATGAGAGAACGTTAGGTGGGAACTCAGTGCTTGCAATTAAAAAATTTCCTTTCCTATAACTACATGAGGGTAGTTCAATGAAAAATCTAGTATTTAATCAAAGCTTCCAAATTTAGATTTCCTTGGCATTGTGGAGTTTTCTGAGATATCAGTCAGGGACAGCAAACAATCACATAGCACCGAATTTTCAAAATGTGTCTAAAAAACCAACAGAATTATCTTGATAAAAGCAATGAAAGTCTTTCAATTATAGCTAAAAATCAGATTTGTGATAGACTAGACATGCCTACAGTTGAGACCAGCAATATATACTACAGTTCGCTTTGAACTGCTTCAGTACTTAACGCTGGAAAATGCTATGTTTCTTGCTTGGTCGAGTCAATTATAACTCAATGCGTGGGCTTGCAACCACGAAACTGTATTTCCTACCTGCCAAAGCCTGGCATCAGGCTGGCACGGGGCAAGCTGGATATCGTTTGTGGGACAAGAAGCAAAGGGGATATCGTTTTTATCGACAGATTGCGACGTTTTTTTCTTTTTTTAGTCGACGTTTCATTTTTTGGGTTTTTTAGGTTATTGTTTAGGGTCAAGAAGGACTTCGTTTTGAAAATTCCCTGGTACCACCTCATGCCGGGCCCTGCTATCTGCTTAGCGCCTATGTGGGCGAAGTTATGACCGTTAGAGGCCGTTATTTTGCTAAGAAATATTGCATGCAAAGCGCAAATTTGGCAGTACAGGTTCATGCTCGGCTTGATGCCGGGCCAAAACATGCAGCTAAGTTACTTCATATTCTTAAAACTTAAGGGGGGGGGTTGAAAGCGCAACAATGGGCCAATTTTGAGATTTTTATGTACGACTTTTTCACAATAAAACTGCTCATAACTTTGTCCACAGGCGCTAAGCAGATATGGAATAAAGATTTGAATTCAGCGTTGAATGCTGCGTCGGAACTCAACTTGCTTGGATTGGCCAATTCGACTTCTGATCTTTCCCTTGTCAGTAGATTATTTTTTGAGTTACAAAGAAAGTATCACTGATTAATACGCATCCAGAAAGCAAGGACATTGAAATTAAGCAGGCGCTGGCTTACAAGGCGTCAATTAGCGTGCATGGTTTGCGCTACGCATATTAATTTACAAACTCGAGGATATGTTGCTTACACGCATCATTATCCTCAATATTCAATCCGGCAATAAGCCAATATTCCCACCGTGAAAACAGAATGAACCTACCGCTTTTGTTTACGCGAAATCACATGGCTTGTTAATAGATGTCAAAAATTCATTTTTACGCCAAAAATCAATAAATCAATAGTGGTCTAGCAAATCGCCGCAAAAAGTAGCCCTAAGCAACCGACGAAGTCAAAAAACACATGCATGTCAAGTTTCAATTAAATCGGTTCAGCCTGCAAGCGTTTCTGTAGCATACGAACACCCAAACGAACACCGTCAATAATAAGAATTGTCCTAAAGGTACAAAAATCTGATTCCCTGCCCAACCAAAATGCCCTACGTTTCGCATACAGACCGGTATCTACTTGAAAGAAAGGTGCTAGCAGGATTCAGCTACAAAAGAAGCAAGGCTGTTCCAAGTTGTTCCGCTTATAAGAATACCAACGAGATACAGTTACTTGCGCGCATTTCTGTCACGTGAGAAGCAAGATTATCCCACTGAATATTTTTAAAATTTTTCCAAGAGTTTTACAGGGAACGTACACGAATTTGGCTGAAATCATGCTTACGCAATTTGGCATCATTTCAAAAGCAAGGAGTAGGATATAACAGGTGGGTAGTGCAGATAATTAATAGTGCCTGGGTGATTCCATGGCTGCCAAAATGAGTAAGACACAGATAATTTGTATTTTCTAGGGACCTACAGGCCGCTAAAGGCAAATAATTTGCAGTGTTTAGGTGACCTTAGGGGCCGCTACCAAGTGGGTAGAGCAGATAATTAGTATTGCCCTTGGTGACCGTACAAGTCGCTAAAATGACAGATGATTTGTAGTGCCTAGGTGCTACGGATCTCTAAAATGGTTAGGGCAGAGAAGCATTCTATTCTGTACATTAGGAGGTCACCATTTTTCAAATACCTGGGCTCCCGAGTAATGTCGGATTGCGACACGATCACTGATGCTCGTGCTAGGACGAACGCGGCGTGGCTAAAGTGGCGACAAGTTACAGGAGTACTCTGCGACCGCCGAATTCCAATATACCTCAAGTAGAAAGTGTACCGGACTGTGGTAGGCCAGTCGCCATGTACGGAGCCGAATGTTGGCCAGCAACAAGGAAACACGAGCAGATCCTGAGTACGATGGAGACGAGAATGATAAAAGCATACTCGGCCTAACGAGAAGAAACTGCGTCACAAACTTTGATATGCGACACATTCTCGGAGTAGCACCTGTCGCGGATAAGGTGCGAGGTGCCAGATTACGATGGTATGGTCACGTTTCATGAAATGAAGATAATACAGTAGCAAAAACAGCACTTTGCCTAGATCCGCAGGGGAAAAGACCACGTGGCCGACCAAAGCAACGCTGGTCGGACAGCATTCGAAACGACTACATTACGAAGCTCAAACCACAAGAAGCAGCTGATCGAGTTAAATTGAAGCAAAAATACACCACAGCCGACCCTGCCCCCGCGGGACAATGGCGAGGATAAAGAAGAAGAAGATTTTACGATTTCGAGAAAAATGCAGCCAGTATAATACGTCTGGTAATGCGCCTCTTGGAATTTTTATTTTCAAAGTCAAAATGCACAT